CTTAATAAGTAGCCGTAACAAGTTTATTAGGATTTTCTAACTGCATGTATTATTGATTTATCGTTTATTGATTATTCAAAGAAGCGGAGAACAATGAATCCGAGTAACTAGTTCGTCCCTATAACAGACTTCTAGTCTAGAAACGAATGTAAATAGAATGTAAATAGGAAATAGTCAAGTAAAAAATACCAATTATCGAGCACGCCCTTACATCCGCAAGCGTGCATGAGACGCGATCGTCTCTCTCAATGTCGCATTTTTACAACCTGACAGCTGTTCAAATCAGTGCGTTACGAATTAATTCAACAAAAATTACAGAATATTAATCTTCTACCGAACAAACAGTTCGCATAATGTCTGCGTGCGTGAAAATTAAGCAATGTTGGCCCGCGTCATTAAATACACGACTGTTGGGACATTACCTTAGCAAGAAAATTGCACCTTATGTTGAGGCTGTTCGTTGCCGATTAACGTATAATCAGCACCTGTAAGACGTCGCGACATTCACCGGCGGTGAGATTGAACTAAGCGAAATTGATTTCATACTCGGCGCACGTGATATTAAATCTGAATATTACCGTCTTAAACTTCAAGCGCGGCGATTAATTAAAGCGTCCGCCTCGCAGACGGCAGCGGCGGTGGTGCAACGGGACAACTTTCGCGTCGCCGCAGAAAATGAGGAACTTCGGGACCTTCGAATTACGTGCTCCTCCTCGTTTCTGAGAATACGAATGTACGACCGCCCGCGTCTTGTCGCTCCGCCGTCCGCGAGAGAGAAAAAGCTTGCGCGCGCGAGGGAATTTCGCGCAAATGAAACCTCCTCCTCGCGGATCGAGGTGACACGAAAGTAGGTCACCCTTTGGAGACCAATTACCGCAATGGTTACGAGAGACACCCTTAACCCCTTTGAATCAACTCGTACCTGCAAATTTGACGCGTGCGACGGAAACGTCGTCGCGAGCCATTGCGCGTTGCACGCTCGCGCGAGCCCGTCTGTTAAAGCAGTTGGTTCACAAATTCGTTTTCTCAGAGATCTCTTCAAATTTTCACGGAATATTAATCGAAGCAGGATCTATATGTACGTATGTAAAGGTAAAGGAAAATTGACTATACTGAAAATGAGGTAATTGAAATCAAAGTTAGTACTATTTACGTATATCATCGCATAATTCAAAAAGGCTACTTTCCGATATTCTCTGCCAGTACTGAAAATCTATAGTTCATGTTACGTACGCTATAGATTTTTAGTACTGATAGTGAATATTGGAACATTGCCTTCTTGAACGAATATAGCCAGTTCAGGAATAGAAAACAAACCTGTTATCTAATTCATTGCTCGTGAAATTAGAAAAAGACTGACCGCTCGAAAGCTGAGATATTTGCTAAAATTGGCACTTTTTACAGCCTTTTTACAGCTCCTTGAAAAAATTAGCGTGCTATTTTTAATTTCTATTTTTAATATCCTCTGTAGTTCTGAAGGCTCGGCAAAAATCGGCCCTTTCTCATTTTCTCGCGGATTTTTCCGGTTTGCTTGATAAATAATAAATTTACGAGTGACCTCCTTGATGCGTCACTGAAAATACGGCACTAATGGGTGATACATCCTTAACTAGGGACCGCGTTTTAACCTTTTACCGGCCTCATCAGATGGTCAGAGATTATCGTAAAATAGCAAATATCAAGGCCGCTTTACATTTGCATGATATATAAACGCGGAGCAGTAATAAAATAACGGGTCGCACAAATGAGAACAAATATCCTATTAATGGCGATGTAATCGCGCTGCATCGCCGCGTTCAGTTACAACCGGCATGTAAAATGATACAGAGGAATAAACAGTATAGTGTGTCAAAGATAGTATACATACACATATACTCTCTCTCTCTCTCTCTCTCTCTCTCTCTCTCTTTCTGTCAATCTCTCTCTCTGCGCATTTCTCTGTCCTGAATCCAAGCAATAAGAATTGAATTCGCGATAAGCGATGATCGGGAGGTGAAAAGATATAAAAGCCCGAATGTATTGCGTCTTAACGTAGAGACAAAAATTGCCAAGTCACACGGTAGTGCGATATTAAAAATCCGACGCTAAATGATATTAACTTTCCGCCGTGAAGGCCAATAAACGCGCGCAGAATTTGTACGAAGTATAAATAATAATGTTCAGTAGTGTGCTTGCTCTGCAATATTGACGGCAAATTCGTCAGCAGCCATTGGAAAATAAGTAATGGACATCAGTCGATACATCGGATTACATACTCGTAAACAGACGAAAGCGTTATATTTCCAGCAAACAGTATCCGATATATATAACTCATCCAAAGCCATAACGATGTAATTATCCCTCCATAGTGGTTGCGGGCAAACGAGCGAAATCGAACAAAATATCCCGGGTAAAAATTAATCGAAGTGTGCCGCAAGTCTGGTCGTGTAGCCCTGGATAGGCATGCCCTAAAGGGCTGCCTTCGTCGGGTCTAGATATGGTACAAAAAGGCAAATCTTGAACACAATTTCAGTGAATATGCACTAAAAAACTAGGCCATAAATATGCACTGATGTGGATGTCCATGGCAAAATCTGTGGCCAGTCAGGGCCTACATTGCAAATCTAAACTATCTGTTACTTTTACACGCATAAACGTCTAAAAATGACATTTGAATGAAGCTCTTTTTATATGTTTCTTATCATTTTACGTTACGTTATTTAAAACGTTTAATCGTGTTAAATTATAAGTTATATCAACACATTCAATCATGTTAAATAACGTGATCTGAAACGGCCAAAAGTGTGTAAGATAAGCTTTAGCAAAATAACGTACTTAGATTTGCATTGTAGTTATATTAGTTAGATGGATTAAAACCGGTTCGAAATTGTACGGACATTACATTACATTTCTGTACAATCTAGATAGAAATGAGGAAAAATTATGTAGGGCCTTTCCAGCCCCCGTTTTAATCTTCTACCTGGGATGATTGAAACGAACAAAATGTATCACTGAGACATATGTGAAAAGATATATCTATTAAGGCGGAACATATTATTACGGCTTAATTTACCTCGTTATGAGTTTTATCGCTACAATTTCATCGGTTGCACACTTCGTACGCACGCTTGGGGCTATTTGTATGCTACGATTGTCGGTAAACACACACCAGCAACAATGTCACCGGTCGACGCGTCATATAAACATCAGATCATAATCGATGCTATAGATTGCCGTACATATTTGGATTTCAAATACGGAAGCTATTGTGCGCTTCGAATCGAATGTAGTCAATTCAGCCGCTACGCAGCCGATATTCAAAATCCCACAGAAAGTATGCGCGCGATCTCAGATCACCGCGGATTCCCAAACTGCCTCGCGCCCACGGAAAAGCATTAGCTCTTACAGCTAAAAACTAATCTATCTAATGCAACTGAAATTCGATTACCAGATGTAGTTTTTAACTACAGGGACCAATTCGACTACAGACGTACACGGAAAAGAAGAATTTCCCATGGCTAAAAACCAGGTAAGTTTCAGTTGCATTATATGAATTTTTAGTTTATACCTGTGGGAGAGCCGATTCCTTTTTTCCGTATAATAAATCACAATAGATAATGAAGATTTTTCCGCGATTTGTCCGCGATATTCGGAAAATAGCAGGGTGAAGAGTTCACTTTCGGCTGGGTTTCCCTTGGCACCAACGTCGAGAGAGTTCGAGCAATCGAAACTCGTATGCCCGCTGTTCCGCCGCGGTTCAACGAGATAGACGCGAGTATTTTTCGTTTTTTTTTTTCCTTTTCGTTTCGATATCGCAAGACAAACTTCGCGCATTCGAAACCAGCAACCCGCAGGACGTGTTTATCTCACTGCGTCGCCGACCTTGCCCCGAGCCCAAGCGAACTATGCATTGAAAGTTTGAACCAGGCCAAACACCGACTGCCTACGTCAGCGCTCTCGATAAGGTGCGGTTTGAATACACGGAAAAAGTATGGCAGGTGAAATTGCCATCCCGAGAAACAAACGTATGTACGCGATTCGTGAAAAGTTGCGTTGGCCCGACGATTGCTAAACACGCGCGGATGTCTCCACTGTGGGAGGGAAATGTGAAGAATGGCGTCTAACGATATAAGCATCGGAAATGTTATCTTCCCGTAAATAAAGTATAAGAGAATATGCATAAATATAATTGCGCTCCTCGCACTGGAAGTCTCCTTCTCGCGCGAGCAGCGCGCTACGAAATGTTGCGCGAAAACACGATATTATCGAGGAAGAATACGAAAGTAGCTGTAACTCGGCTAAAACAACAACAACGACAACACGGTAAGAACTTGATGTTGAAAGATCCGCAGACCTTTACCTTTCGTATCGCGTTATGTTAACGCAACCATTCGCCACGTGCAAGGAAACTAATTAGCGAGCTACGAAATATTTCATTCCAGCAGCTTCCAGTATAATCTCAATGTTACATCGAGCATTGAATTACGCGTGGAATTATGATCGTACCACCGATCGGGGGGATCAAGGTGAACTTTCGTTTTACTTAACGTCCAGTATTGTGATTTCGCATCGGTAACGGTCGTGATTAAAGATAGAAATTGCGCAACCGAGTCCCAAATATCAACAGTGTAACGTTGAGATAATACAACAAACAAAATGTATATTCGGAAGTTAAGTTATCCTGTAAGAGCATCAACGCGTAATGTAAAGAGCGTCATGTGAATTTATAATGTAACATTAACATACATATATATATATAATTCCTAAACTAACCTAACCTCAACTTTACGTCATACATCGTACAATACAACATGTGTGTGTACCATGTGCGTGTTAACGATACACCAACGATCACTTAAGCACGAAGCCGCACACCGTGAAGAAATTCAACATTTGATCCCCACAGATTTATTATTCATCGTAGGCGTCACTCGAATTTACGAGTTCCCGTTGTCGAGGGAGAACGCTCGACGTTGAAACGACAAACACGGTGAACGGTAAGCACAGACAATCGCACTCACCCGGCAGCTCGAGGAAATTCGAGGTCCTCCGTTGCCGTCCCCGCGGATGGCCGCTGAAATTCAACGGGCCGACTTCCTCGTTGCTGACGTTGGACATGTTGGAGCACTGACTGTCGCGGGAGCCGCGTCTCGACGCCAGGTAGGCTGTAACACACGGAATATCGCGCGCACGCGAGAGAGCCTGAAAACCCATGCCTGCCACGGATTCGCAGCGCGATACGTCGCGTTCAAAGGGTAAACCGCATCGCGATGCGCGATGCAATCTCCGCGCGTGCACAGTTACAGAGACGAGGGCGGGAATATGTCTTCGGTCGCGCGCGTAACGTTGGAGGAAACGTTTGCGCTCATCGGCCATCATCGCCACTGTTGTGTCGCGCGCGTTAATACTGCACGCGACTCTCTCTCTCTCTCTCTCGCGAATCTCCGGCGAATAAATTCCCAATTACGGTGAATACGGCAGCGGCGCCTCTTTTCACGACGTGTAACGACGGATTTCCAAATTAATGTTTCCCAACAGCGCGCTTCGCTTTACCGGTACCGATCACGCCGGGTGTAATTTTTTTATTAACATCGCCCGGCTGAAACGGCATTGGGGAGAAATGCGGCCGGGGATCCCGGTAGCGTGAAATATTTCATCGCGATACGTCGTCGTCTCCCGATCGGTCTAAGCCAGATTTAATTTCCCTCGCGTCCCAGCCGGGACAAAAGCGCGGTATCGCGCGCACAAAGAGCCCGGGAGATCGGTCGATATTTAAACAATATCTACGCGAGCACACGTGTGCGGGGCGTGTGCAATTCACGAATTCGCACGTGCTGCATTCGCGAGCGCGTTTCCGCCGTGTTCTAATGAAAGCCGAACGGCCAATGATTGAAGAGGATCGGAGGATTAAGTCCCGCGGGGTAAACCCCGAACTCTTTCATCTCGCTTCGGAGCTCGCGGGATTCGAGATAAGGGGAGGAGAGGGCGAAAAAAATAGATAAACGCGGTAAAAGGGCACCCTGAGCGTGGGGACTTTAGCGGAAAAGTGGGGGGAAAAAAATAACACACCCGGAGAGCACGGTGGTGGACAGTAGTTTATGAAGGATTCATTTTAAAGAACACCTACGGAAAATGAATATCCGGAGAATTCTTGAAGAATTAATCACGATCAAATTCGTCTCGGAATATTCCTCGAAAGTTCGTCACAACGAATTCTCCTCGCGATGCCGTACCTCGAGAATGGTTTGAGAATCCGCGAAGAATTACGAGTGTTTTGTTCGTCACAATTACTTTCCGCGGCGGCGTTCAGAGGATGCTTACGTTACTTTCAGCGTTTTACGCGTGCGGCATTATAAATGGAATTTTCTTTACAAATGAACGATAGCTGGATATAATAAAGAGAAAAACGATACCATTGGTGTTTCATTGAATTGCGAAAATATGATCGAACTGTGCTCATATATTTTTACAAATCGCTACTTTATAACCTGCGTGCGAAAATGACGGTATACAATATAATTCTCTTTTTAACTCTATATGATTCTCTTACGCAATTTTGCACGTTTTCTCCTTTTACGTGATTGAAAGTTCAACGTATTTTAATTATTTTGATTATTTCAAATTAAGTAGTATTAGACTCTCGAGATCTATGGTGAAATGAAAACATAGGAAGGCCTGTAAAAAGCGAGCGCAGAATGGCGCGAATAAATTTATGTGAGATGATAATATGTTTGACAATGTTATTGAGGGCGTTGTATTATCGCATAAAATTTGTTGGAAGTCTAACAAATTCATCAGTGTATGCGATAACAAATATATTATCCTCCTGTATAAATTTATTCCCACCAATCATGCGCTCGAATTTTATAGGCTTTTCTGTTTTCCTTTATTTATTTCATTCGGGAGAGGACCCGCCAAACAAGAACTAACAGTACATCAATTTTTAATTATCAATTATTATTTATAATTTCTTATTTTCCAGAAATATAATATTAATGCAGCGTTACTTTTAGTTGGTATTCACTAAGTACTTCGTAATTCTCCTCTTTGCCCTTAAACAGCATTCCCTTTGAATTCATAAAATATACACATCTATTGGTATGAAATAATTCAACAAGAATACTTCAAGATATTCTCAGGAGTCCCAATCACGGTGTATGTAACTGCACAAATCATTCTTATAGTATTCTGCGAATTTCTGAAGACTTACAATTCGGGCAAGAAAAAAAACTTCTGAAATACTTGAAGAATTTACCGTGTTATTTGGGGAAGGCACAGGAAAGAGCGAGGGAGAGTCGAGGACTAAGGAAAAGTCAAGTGTGACGGAAACTAAAAGGGATGGACCTATCCGAGTCCGTCGTTTTCGCACGACGTCGATTTAATCATACCGCAGCTTTACGTCGAAAACAATTATCAGACTTCGTATGTACATGTATGTACATGTATGCGCGTCCGTTGTGTAAAAGTATATACTGGAGCCTAAATTACTAAGCCCACATTACGGCGATATTAACCCATGTTATGGGCTTTCATCAAGGGAGAGTCTCCGGTTCGAATTAAAAGAGCAAATGACTCGCAGGCGGTGAATTTCAACGGTGAAATCCGAAATTTCGCTCTTCCGTGGAGGCCAATTATCGACGACGCGTGTACACGTGGCCGGGTTATTCACGTGCCGCGCGCCGTCGTAATTCTCGTTTCCATCGAAATCGACGCGCCCGCTGTAACAAAGAATCCTCCCCGATCGTCACGCGCCGTGGAAAAATACACCCTTTATGTTTACTCTCGGTATTAAAGCACGAGGACAATTTGCATTCCATTAATATTGAAATCACATTTATCCGCGACATTACCGCAGTGTACGTGCTCGACGACGTCGCACGTAGGTATAAATCTGAACCATAGAGGAGATACGATCACTGGCAAAAACGATTCTTTCATCGAACGCGCGATGTGATGAGCGAAATGAAGCGATTAAATTAATCCAATGAAGTTGGGAAAGGAGAAGCGAAAGTCGTTAATAAGCGAAAGGACCTCGATATCAAAAAATACGGATATCAAGTTGTAAAATTATCAAGTTCCCTCGGACGCAGAGGAAAAGCTACCAAAACCAACATAGATATGGCAAACCGACATACCCATGTTTTTGTAAAGTATTGAACTCCGTCGGACTGAATTCATCTACTATGTACAGCAGTCGGAGCTGAAGTGGTAGTTTCCGTTTGCAAGCGCGTTCGGTTGTGTTATTAACGTCGTTTGATTTTTCGTTACGCTGCCTTCCGATCACTTTTCCCCTCAATTCTCAAGTCTCTTCAAAATTAGTTATTTGCAAGAATAACTAATGTAACAATGTAGCAAGCATGTAACAATTTTCCTAAGACTATATTTCAAGCGAGAAGTGTTGCTGGTTTGAATGGAAATAAATTTTATTTTTACACCTTCAACAAAGTAATAGACAAGTAAGTAGTCGGTCGAAGTCCAGAAGCAAAATGGCACGTCGGTTTTGGTGCTTCTCCTCTACATATTTCGTACGTCGGATACGATACGTCTAATCCAGACCGTGTCGCAGTGGCGAAGTATAACACTCCCGAGTTTCGGGCTAACCCTCGTCAAGAGAGCAAACAATTCGCGGCTCTCATCGGCCGTCGTTTATTGCCCAATCGCATCGCCGTTGTAGCCACATTTCAGCTGATGAAAGAGGGTAGCGCACGAAGGGGAGAGATGAAATCGTACAGACGGGGAGAAAAGGAAAGAGCTACTCACCGAGGCCGCCCTTCATGGAACCTCTTCTCCTGGGGCTGGATAGCAGAGTAATCTCAGTCTCAGCGTCTCCCATATCCGTCAGATCGCTGGTCGACCTCCTGGACATGTTCTTGTCGGCCCTGCCACGTTTCGAGCAGCCGTCCGAGCCCTTACGATTACCTCGGCCAGCTTCGTCCAAGCATCCCTGGCTCTTGTTGAAGTATCCGCCCATCTTCGCGCTCTTCGAGCGATCGCCGATCCCCTCGATCTTCTCCTGCATGCCGAAGGAACCCTCGAGAGAAGTCGCCTTGCCGGCAACGTTGACGTTGCTCTTGTAACCGCCGATCTCCCGGCAAACGCTCTTCTGATCCAGCTCCAAACCGCGATCCAGCTGAGGACTGGTAGCGTCGGAGCTCGACGTCACTATCGTCGGCGACATGGGACTCTTGAGACTCGCCAGGCCGAAGCACGAGTTCCGCCGTCGGTCGAAGTGCTTCGGGCTCCTTTGCCCGTACACGGAGGAGCTGGCCGACCTAGCGCGGTCGGCCATCGACGAGGTCGCCGACGACGCCGGGTAGCTCGCGGTCTGCTTGAGATTCTTGCGCGGGTCGCAGAACTGGAAGACGGGCGACTTGCGGCCCGGCGAGTGCAGCATCTCGCTGTTCGGCGTCTTCGGGCTGCGCGGGCTCGCGCGAGCGTAGTAACTGGGACTCCTGGGTCCGCGCTGCTGCTCGAGCTCGCCGGCGCGCCCGAACTCGTCGAAGTCGAAGCTCGTATTGGGCGTCTCCGGGTAGAACTCCGAGGGGAACTCGAAGACCCGCGGGGTACCAGGTGACTTGGCCAACGACTGGCCGCGAGTCGGGCTCCTCTGCTCGGGGATCGGCGTCTGCTGCAGACGAGGCAGCGCCGGCAGCTGCCGCGGACTCCGCGGGGACTTGAGGTGGATCGATTGTCCGGGACTGCTGGTCGCCATCTCCGGACCTCTCGGATGAATTTACCTTCCTGCCGGATCGCGTTATCTTCCCCGCACGGTGTCCCAGCTCGGGTTTATCGGCCGCCCTGCGGCTTTGTCATTGTCGCGGAAGCGATCGTCCGGGGCTGCGAGGCTACCGTAAATCGCCCCTGTGACCGGCAGCTGCGGCCGTTCTCATTTCAGCGGGTCCGGCTTCGATTTCGCCCTCCGACGAGGATCTACGGGATGGACGAGTGCGCTTGACTTCCGGATACGCTGCGGCTTCTCGCGCGCCAACCGCGGTGCCGACGAGAAGTCGCGTCTGCGTGAAATTTTGGGCTGGAAGGTGCGCAATCGAGTTGTTCAAACGCTACGATTAATATATTCCTACTCTCGGAATTTCCCGGAGCGGAATCTCACGAGGTGATTTTTTTCACTCTAAGCGACAGTGAAGATATTATACCGAAAGACATTAGCTATGAAGAAGATTCGTGACACACGGGAATGATAATTTTGCCGTTGTAGCGAAACGTCGTCGCGACAGCGATGGAATTTAGTCGGCATAAACAAATTATTTCGCTGTCCGTAGATCCAGCGGATAGCAGTTAATATTGTTAACAAATCTTCTTGCTATCGCTACGTTAACAAACAATTTGTTGTCGCAGCAAAATTTGTTTTCTCCTTGTACGTTGATAAAGTTTTACGTGTCTATATGTTACAACTAATCTAGCTGCTGCAGTTAATCTTCTTTTCCCGTGTGCCACTCAGAATCACGAGAGTAAACGTTTCACTCGAGCTTAAAGCGAATTCTGACTCCATCCGGGCGAATGTTTCAATCGATTTAAATGAATGTGTTCCTGTTACGGTGGAATACGGTTATTCGCGGAAAAGTTGTAACGTTTTTTTGTATAAGTTTCCGAACGCATCCCGCGTCCAATAAGAGAACTTGCTTTTTAATCATTTTCAAGAGATACATTTTTCGATCGGATAAGAGATACGTTGCGGAACTTATTAAAGAACAAGTTTTACAACCTTTCACTGACTGATTATATATATATATATATATAATCGTGAAAAAGTGTGTAGGTATTATATAGATATTTTCACGTGCGTCGAAAAGAAATATAAAAAAATATAAAGCGGGAAAGCGGAAAATTCGATCGGAAAAATTTGCGTATTCGCGCCACTCAAAAAGGGAGGGATCGTTTCGCGTTCTCCTGATTCCGATTTTTTTTCATTCATGTTTACCTTACTAAAAACTGACTGGACAAGAAATTGTATAGCACGCTCGATCGATTTTTGATCAATTCATTACGGTAACGAGAATACAACGCGATTGCGTTATAACGCGTGACCTATAACCGCAGGGTTAAAACGCACCTATGTCAAGTTCACGATCAGGCGCTTGCGAAACGCGTCTATCGATCCGAATAAAATTGAAAAAGCTCGAAGCACTTTGAATTATTGCCTCACCGAGTCTGCTATTCGACCCAAAACAAGCTCCTCGAGTGTGTGACCTCGCACGATAAAGTAACGGCAGGCTCGTCCTCGAGAAACAACGACGCCCACCCGAAAAAGATAACTGAAATTTGCCGAAGGCGAGCGATTATAAATACATTTTCCGCTTCGGCTGAATTTCCGCCAATTATTCAACGCAATAAAATTACCACAAGGTGTATAACGTTAAAAAGAAAAGTACAATATTATCGCCACGAGGGGTCGTGAAAAAAAAAAGAAAAAAATCGCTAAATCGAAAGAGCGATTTTCCAGATAACACACAGCAACGTACGAAGGACGTTTCACAGAGAGAGTCTACCGAGCGTGCAACATCGGAGGTGATGATAAGTGACGACGCGACATACGTGTAGGCGAGATTGTGAGTAAACGAAGGATACGACGACATACGCGAGGATTATCGGTCGAAACAATGCTCCAGTTAGCCAGCTAGGGATTAACCTGTTGATCGTCGTCGCGAAGAATGTCGTCACGTTGTCTAGCCGCGCCGAGCCGTACGACGTAGCCGTCGAGCTCCCTGAAACGGCCGCAGCTCGCGAAACGCGAGGCCTCGCATCGCGCCGAACAAGTACGAAAGCCACCCTCAGCCGGAGAACACCCTCGTTGTTGGGCCCAGCCGAATTTTTGCGCCGTCAGGAGAACGAAGCGTCGAGAGAAGCTCGAGGTGCCACCTCGGCGATGGCCGGCACGCTACTGAGGGGTGGCGAGCCACCCTCGCGCCCGCTTTCCGACCGCCGCAAAACCACCCCTCCCGCTTCGGCCTAGGCCTGGGTACTCTCGTCGTGTTCTCCCCGCACGTGTTCCTTCGACAACCTCGGTTTACCTGCTACGTAATACATAATAACAATCATAATAATTCCGCGGACCAGAGAAGCGAAAATCTCTCATATTACGGTGAATTCAACATGAAGAATGTTATTTATTGCGCGTATAACGACTCTCTTCTCACGTTGAAATTATAACTGAACATTTGGATGAAAAAAGTTTTTCGCAATTGTTTGTCCGTTGCATAATAATTTTGCGAGTTTCAATATTAAAAGTTACGGTGCTGAGTTAATAACCGCCCGGGACGGATTTGAGATATCTATTTCCGACCTCTCTCTGAGACTATTTTGCAGAAAAGCGCATCTTTGAAAATTGCACAGGAGAGATCAATTTCGCAATTTACGTAGCGTAATAAATTAATCGCTTATTTGCCGTGCTCGTCGAAATGAAAAGCTTAATGAGGCTATAGTCTAATAAGCCACACTGTCTTCGAGTTAGTAACTAACTCTAGCTCTTCTGCTAGCCTTGAAAGATCCCTTGCCGATAGCACGGGGTCAATCTATCGAACGAGATTACGTTTGTACTTGCGCCAAGAAAGCCCACGGAAACACTGCGAACTTACGGTTCGAGCTTCAGTCCAACAACGTCCAACAGGTAGACGCTCAGTATATACGGCTATGTGTTACCGAACCTAATATTTGCCTCTAGTAGTGCATAACTTGGCCTTGAATCATCAGTAAGGCACTCTAGTGAGGCAGACGTGGACTCCCGCTGCGCAGAAATCTGATTCTCTCGTCGGTCTCTAACTCAAGTTCATCGATTAACATCGTTCTCTACGTAAATACGTAGGTTTTTACCAAGAATCATGCCGAGACCCCCAGCAATGTTGCGAATTGAGTTTATTGATTTAGTTGTATCTCTGTAAACGGAAGTGAAAACATCACATTCTTAAAGCCGTCATCATCAAATTACACTGTTCGAAAAGTGAGAAAAAAACAGTAAGGAAAAATAATTGTGTGCTTGCGGAGTATTTCGAAATTTCCTCTTGTTATTTCACGCGTTTCAAATGAAATATTTGTGCCAGATATAGAGAGCAAGTAATATTGCATTTTTGGGATGTGTTAACTGACTGACTGCTTTTGAAAACCATCGAGAGATGTTCTTTGAAATTACTGGTCTGCGTTTTGGCCAGTCTGATACAATGATAATCTCTATAATGTATTTGTTTGGAACGAGTAGTGAACTTGAAAAAAGAAATAAAAAAAAAAATCGCCCTTTCAGTCTCGGATATCATCCGAGTGAATGTGAAGCTAGTGATGCCAGGTACCGCCAGATAGCAGATATTTACAATGAGAATGCCATGAAACGGTACCGACTCATTCGTATACCACTCAAGCAATAAACTCCTCAGTTACAACAAGTATCGGTAAAATGAAAATTGCTATGTGTTCAGAAACTCAATGCCTCGGACAGCTAATAGCGCGCAATGTTATAATACCAAAAATATGATAGATATATAATTATATTTGACTTTTGCTACACTTAAAATTTACCTCGATACTCCCACACTATTTAATCATTTTGTAACTGAAGAACACGATAAAGGACAGACTAAACTTTCAGCTTGTACGTAAAGAAAGGCATCAAAACCGATGTGCCATTTTGTTTTTGAGTTCTAAAGCTCTGTTAGTATAAAATTAAAATTTATATGCAAGAATGCAAATTAGCAACAAACAAATAAGGAAAGCAAGGGAAAATCAGTCACCAGTAGCTTCAACTGTATTCTATGAAATGAAGTTTCACAGCAAAGTTCAGATGTATGTCGGTTGAAAGAGCAGTAATAAATAATTGCGAACATTGTTTTCTTTTTACATGGTTGTGTCACCGAGACTGGCACAAGATTCAAAGCGATATAAAAGTGACTAAAGAAATTCAAAACTTACACTATGAAATAGCATTGTCAAATAAATTACTTACCGCTAATTTATTATTTTAATTTTCACAAGAAGATAGCTCCAAAAAACTTTAACACAACGAAAAATCAAACACATTAATAACACAACCGAACGCGTTACAAACAGAAACTATACACTTCAGCTTCAATTACTGCACACAGTAAACGAAATTCATGCATTGTTCGACAAGGTTTCATACTTTACAACTTATATAGGTATGTCGATTTATCATACATAGTCAGTTTTGGTACTTTTCCTCTAAACATGTCCAAGTAAATTTTTATAAAACCCATAAATTATATTAAATTACTTATCTATTCCTATTACCTATCTAATTAACGAATCATTATACTTTTCAATTTTTTATTTAGTAATCTTGATAATAAAAAAATTTTGATTGATTCAGTGATCTTGCGTAAAGTCGTGCAACGTGCGTTTTTAATTTTTCTTGATTTTTATTAACAATAATGTAAAATAGAACTAACTGAATGTTCACGAACGACTACCTTGTTCGACGCGTCTGCTCTCTTCTTGCCTTAGAAAAACACAGATAACAAGGCCTTAGCCAGCGTCGATATAGAACGATATAATGAAGACATTTTAAGTGCTTTTAAATGTCGATATAGAACGATATAATGAAGACATTTTAAGTGCTTTTAAATGCTTAATATTCGCAAGAGAAACAAGCGCAGACTGACTCATATTTTCTTATCGGTGGCGTTATCGATTGGTGCGTGTGAACTTAAAGCATGACAAACCAGCTATTCATTCTGCACCAGTAAAAACGAAAACTGCTATGGTGAAATTATCTTCTCGCATGCTTGAAACAATATCGATAAATTACTGAATTCTGCATAAATTCGTTTCCTTAGTCTTCTCCGTTCCTTATCTTTTATTTTGCTTATGAACTTGATCGAAAAAGTGTCGTGTTATATATAAGTAATTAAGTTACTTCTCTGATTTCAATTTTTTTTAAATTAAGGAAAGAAGAATTCTTCCTAAATAAAGTAAAAATTAAGGAGCCAAGTAAAAACAATTGTCATAATGTTTAACGTTGTCCCGACTGGCTCGGCCAGTTCTGATAATATTTCCTTCTGATCGTGTTTCTCGCGAATATCGTACGAGTTCCATGAGAAGCTAGTAATATCGAACTCCGCTAGATAGCGAATGCGTGCAAAGTCACTTCAATATCAGAGTGCTTATCGATACGAAAGATTACTGCCTAAGCAATATGATTCAGGACATGATTCATGTACATTGTATACAAAGTACGTAACTTTTATCAAATTTTGACATATTTAATGATTAATTTGGCCGCTAAAATTGCCAACATGGAAAATAAAGAAACACAGTTTGTTACTAAAACAAAAAAACAAAAAAGAAAATTCTCCTGTTCCTTCTTTACAACCATTTCAAATTGTTGTCATTCAAGCAACTTCCGTTCTATTTTGTTAATATAGAGGAGAATTATCAATTTTTCGGTTTTTGATGGATAACAAATTTGAAAATTGTAATTGGCGATTCTTCGGGTTAATCAATCGTTGTAGAAATGATAATCCGACAAATTATCGCACCGATTACCTCGGCTATCTTAATGTGATTGCTTGAGATTGAGTAACAACTTTCTTGTATGCTTGTCGACTTAACGAACCCACGTAAGGCCGCGCGACACGCGACGCGTTTCCGAGCAACATCGATTCATCATTAGTACGTCTGGTGGATGGCGAAAATATTTCACTCTCGCAAGTAATGCATTCTCAACCCAGTGCAGCCGGAAAATACATTTCACTCACAGCAATAATGCATTCCCAATGGGAGCGAATACGAAAAATATAAAACGTATATCGAATCATCCAATCTTTTTGTTTACAGTGATATGCGTTGCCTATTTTTATAAATAAAACAGCCTATTTAAACATTTTCGAATAAAGTCTAGTATTATCGCAATCTTTTGCGATTCTCGCCAGTTGATAATATTCTTCTCCGTTTCTTATCTTTTATTTTGCTTATGAACTTGATCGAAAAAGTGTCGTGTTATATATAAGTGATTAAGTTACTTCTCTGATTTCAATTTTTTTTTAATTAAGGAAAGAAGAATTCTCCCTAAATAAAGTAAAAATTAAGGAGCCAAGTAAAAACAATTGTCATAATGTTTAACGTTGTCCCGACTGGCTCGGCCAGTTCTGATAATATTTCCTTTTGATTGTGTTTCTCAATATTCAAGTCACCGTGTAACATGATAACCGCATAAAATGATAAGCATATAAAATGCTCGTGCATGCAATGTAGTTCCACACGTGCATTAACACGTCTAGCAAATTATTTCTTCGAAATACAACAACGTATCAACGTTCAATCATAACATCTCGTAACAATAGACGTCACAAATGACGTCTGTTACGCGTTAAATTATGTGATTCACGTTTTTGACTTTTAATAAAAACTAATGGAATACCAAACGCGTGGGATTGCTCTTATTAAATGACTCAGAAGTGCCCCACATTACAACCACGTGCTCGAAATTATAGATCGAATATATACGTTGAATATATACGTATATAAGAATCGAAATATACACTTCCGTACTAACATGTCCATGTGCTAAACTATGTACCACATCAACAGCGTTTGTTTATCAAGATTTTGCAGAACAGCGTCAAGCGTCCGAACGTGACACGTCTCACTTTTGCTTATTTTTAACCCAATTATATCCAAGCTCCTTTCTTTAGAAAAAAAAAGGAATAGATACAAACTACACTCGCTTCTATCGGATAATCTATGTTACATCGAATGCCTCTCCAAATTATTTTTTAATTGATTCTCGATATTCGTATCGGAATACGATACACACATTGCTCCGAAAATTGGCCCCGCTAATATTAACTCAAAATAATCAAACAGCTCGCTAAATTAAAAAGAAAGAATTCTTCGACGGAACCGTGCGATAAAAATATACGAACAAAACCAGAATCTCGACGAAGAATCACAGGCAGTGACGACGATCACTTGATTAATGAAATTGGAATAATTCAATTGAATAAGTGAATTGGCTTCTACTGGATGCAACAAAGTCCAATTTGACCGGAATTTAATTCAACGATCGAGCCGAACTTGTTTGACTGACCCAACACAGGGAGATATACTACTCGTACTTTCACGCGCTGCAATTCCCCAGCAACGTGTCCTTGGTCTAGCAAGGAAGACCGGCAAGGAAAAGATCACGACTGCTATCGAATATATAACTGCATATATAAAAGTAGGAGAGTGGCACGCGTATCCTAATGACGTTTACAGTGGGGTGTCGATAAGAGAGTCCGCCCACGTTTCAACGCTCGTCCGCGCATCGGTCTGCTAACGCAATCGGTCAGAACACGCGGTGTCGACGTCGAGTAGAGACGTCTGTTAGCCTCGGTTACTTCCGCATCTCCTACCCCATCCGCCTCGATCTCACTCGATAAGCGACATCTCGGTGCATCGCTGAGGAGAGATGCCGTCGTTGAGGACTTTTCGCATCGAGTTCGACCGGCCAGGTGCCACCTTCGCACCCGGGGAACTTATCACCGGCAATGTCATCATCGACTTGGCCAGGGAGAAGACAATCCGAGGTAAATAGAGTCGTGCACGTGTCACTTCACGCATCAGTTCCGCGATCGAGCCAGTATCGAGCGATCGCATAGCAGGCGTCGCGTCGGAGCGACGTCGGGCGCCAACGAGCGCGCTCCGTCGCAGAAACCGGCACGTGTGCGTGCGTAAAAGTGCGTGCGACAGTGTCAAAACAGTGCTGTGAGAAGTGGTCGAGCGGGTTCTAGCTGTGGGGGAATTCGAAACGTGAAGAGATCCGGATTATCGCGCACACGTCGTGAACCAACGCCAGTCAAATTTCGGGACTGCGAATGGGCAAAATTGGAATAATGGCTCGATCAGGGAGGAGAAAAAGAAAGAAGGTGTATGAGTAATAAAATGATGAGTTTGAAAGTCTCAAATACTGTAGTCTTATAAAAAAGAAAAAAGACAAAATCTAATTAAGTATGTGGTTGTATCGCAAAGTGCAATATTTCCAGTGGCGCATCAAGAGGGCCACTCATAAATTTAGCATTTATCAAGCAAAAAATTACGTTCTTGTACATTTATTTCACTATCTAAATAATCAAATATATATATATATATATTTATATTACGTTGCTTTATTACCTGGGTCAGTTTCTTCCGTACGGCCAATCTATTTCTAATTGCGCCAATAATCAGGTCACATTTAAATCTATATATAATGCAAGTTTCAACGAATTAAAAAAAAATTCATTTTACGCTACAACTACTATCTACTCTGAAACTACTCTGAAACGTTAATCACAATATAATTGGGTCAACGAGTGAAAAAGTCAATTAGCAATAAAAATCGTTTTTGCTTCTAGATATAACGTTTAAATTAATTCAATACACAATGTATTGGTATTTCTTCCAATAGTTTCAAAATTATTGGTCTAAATAATTTTTCTAAGTTTTCCTCTAAGTGTCTAAGTAATTTTTCTAAATTTTCCTAAATGTCTCCACAATCTCTAAAGCACACGATTCTTCCAAATAATTCTATACAATACCGTAGCAACGTAGATGTGCATTAAAAATTATATTTCATTACTCATGTCAAATTACACTAAATTATCAGTAAACTTTTTTTATCTTTATACTGAGGAAATGAAATATCAAACGCAAAATTTCCTTCCGCTGATTGCCAGTTATTGCACAACGGGGCGCCTACCAGCCAGAAAACGCTCCTGTAAAACACTCAGTATGACGTCATCTAGTAAATAGCGTATACCAGGAGCACATGTGCGACACGATACCAAATGCTTTCTATCTCTGCAATGGTATTTCTAACATAAATACCAGGTCACTCTATTTTGCAATATATTTCGAATAACTTGTGAACTCGTAAACTGATAAAAGAAATGCATTCTGAACATCGTCTAATGTGTAAACCGTACATTAATGTAACACGAAGTATCGATTTGCACTTACATCGATTATCAGACACAAAACTTTATGGTACCATTTAAACGACCGATTATTCGATCGTCTCACTCTCAGATGCCCTTCAATAATTGACTCATAACTTTATCTAACTGTATTGTCATGTTTGTTTGAACAACATCCATTCTCTTCCCCTTATGCCCCCCTCCCCCCTTCCCTGTTATCGACAAGTACGTGACGATTTCTTCGTAAAGTAATTCGCACTCACACAATAATATTTCGAATATCAGAATGTGTATAATTAAACGTTTCATGTTTTATTCCATAAACCATGTGTAGTGAAAGATTCGTAAACAAGCTAAAAATAAATTTATCAGAAGGTGATTTTAATTACGGCGAGATCCATCAAATTACCGCTAAAACCGGAATATCCCGGCACGAGACTCGGCGGCCTCATGGTTTCCGCAACTATTTTTACGTATCCGTAACCAGTTATGTAACGCATATTTGTACGTGACTGCGAATCCGTTGATACGTATCAAGCGACATTGAACTTCGTATAAAGTGCATTATAAAGCAACCTTGTTGCGCATGACTTTAACTATGTATCTCGCGCATTGTGCTCACACATTTTCCAAACACAATTCATCGATTTTTTTCTTCATATTCTCATCGAAATCTTCAAGATGAACATGTATAATATGTATTCCAAGATCTTTTGTGAAAAGAGAGTTTAGGATTTTTCAACATTTTCTCTAGATATTCCCAAACCTCTTTAAAATTCATTAGTATCTTTCTGTCTTTTATTTGAGACGGGGAAATATATAAGAAAATAAAAGAATATATATAATTAAAGATAATTTCCACCGTCGTTACATGATAATGTTAATGATATCTGAATATGTATTTGAAATCAACGATATTTCTAACGATGTCTTGATAAAATGTGGGCAACGCAAATTAAGATGATATTTCTCATGATAGCACTGAAACTGACGATCAAAGGGGAAGCTAATGTACACTGGGAGAGAAGGAGATCTTCGAAAAATGCCCGTGGACGTTCTGAAACCCGGACTGACCATTTCCGAGGGCGTGAGCAGTACTTCAGCCTGACTTATTTCCTAGTGGGAGATGTAGGAGGTAACGTTCACCAGGTTAAATCTGTGCGACGTAAGAAGAAACGTTTACATAATAACACCTGTGCAGCAACATTACGACAAAGATGATTAATTATAATCGCTCGATCAGCTGTTTGCGGAAACTAGCCACTCGCAGATTAGCGCATCGAGGCGTCCTCAATCGATTACAAAGTATATAAACGAAACGTATTTTATATTTCAGGCGGAGAGGTGCGATTGCCGGAGGGATTAAGCAGATATTCCTTCAATGCCTTACTGCCTCGTAATATACCATGCAGTTTTGAACACAGAAACGGCCACATCAGATACACGACGAAGGCTGTCATCGACAGGCCATGGAGGTTCGATCACGAGTGTAAAGCCGCATTCACCGTCGTCTCGTCGTACGATTTGAACGCTCACAGCGGACAATGTGTGAGTAAATCAACTTCGATCGATGTGCGAAGAAAATCCCGGATCCGCTTATTCGTTTCCTTCACCTCGACATCACGCTCTACGACGACATCGAGCGTCCCGTCGGACTGTAAAATATCAAACTACGAAACGGTCGCTGTTGACATGGTTGTTGAATGCCAAATAATGTGTTTCTAATGTATTAGATCGGCGTGGACGACGAAGTGTATCGAAGTTTCTGTTGCCTCTGCTTCAACCAGGGCTCGATTAAGGTGCGCTTCAGATTACCGACGACAGGCTTCGTGCCGGGACAATCGATAGAGACAATAGTTAGTCTCGAAAACAGGAGCAGCGTTGATGTGTCGCGAATTTGCGTTAAAATAGAACGGGTTAGTGTCACCGTAATACATCACCGAGCAAACATAACATCGCGTCTATAGAACATTAGCTGTAGTTTATAGACTATACGTAACCCAACCTACCGACCTCATTTTCACCGACACAGTAATCACGATCTTTTCCTTTCCTTTTTGGGGGGGATTTCTATCCACGAAGTCTCTAGAATTGCACGCAAAGTCGCCGTACCACTTGACGAAGACGTTTAAGGAGATCGTAAAAGGAAAGCAGACCATGGGACCGTTCGGTGTTGAATCCGACATTGTATCGCAACTGCAAGTTCCGCCGATACCGCCGTCCCAACTCGAGCACTGCGGCATAATAAATCAGAAGTACAACGTACGCGTCACAGTTCATCTCTTGGGCATGTAAGTATTTATTTTCGCGTTCCTTCATGGGCGTACGCGAAAGAAAATTATTCTATTGTATTGTTGATTCACAAAATCACAATCGTTCGATCGTTTCCCCAACAGGCACTGCAGCGTCACCGGGACTTATCCGATTTTGATCGGGACAATTCCACTGCGCTCGACAATCTCCGCCGCGTCTTATCAACAAGACATACCTCAACCTACGGCTCCTGTAATGCCATACGACGACCCACCACCACCAATGCCGATGCCAGCATCTCCGGATTACGCACCGCCTTATCCGGGCCCTCAGGCGATAGGTTTCACCTATTCGGATCAACCTGGCACTTCCAACCAGTGGAACATGCGTGAGTTACATTTCTTCCCTTCCCTTCAATAATGCGTCACCGACAACTCTGCTTGGAAATTTCACGTCGAACCATAAAAATGAATTCGCACGATGATTTAAAATTCTCAGCTAATTGGAACCAGTCCGAAATATTTTTACTCACGTTGAGATGAAAAAAAATCGAAATATTATCTGGATAGGGCTTGTTGTGAGAAGATCTGATCTGTGATCGTGAACTCATTGTTTTATTATCCATCTAGCACCGCCGTCGTACGAAGAATGTATGCAGAGAACGGACAGCATCAAGGATCACGACGAGTCCAATTACGTGCACGGCGCCAACGAGCCGTTCGCCCCGAGATATCCGGTGTTCAATTTCCCAACACCACCGTGTAAGAACAGAACATTACTCTCCATCAACCCATTTGCATCATACAGAAATGTGAACGATATGGCCTTATCACATAACCCGATAATTTCCTTGATTAAATTTATTAATTATTAAATTCAGGTACAAATACATCAAAAAGTGTAGAGAATTAAATATTTCATTGCCCACTGTGCTGATAGATCACCGTGAAAGTGGTCTACGAGCGCATGTATACGCGGACAAAAAATTATTATCAATTCAAGACTCATATTTTCACGTATAAACGAAAATATATGACCTTATATGAAGATGAAACTTGCTCTTACATGAAGAAATTCTATATAGTTCTGACAAAAATAACATGTTCTTGTTATTCAAAAATAATTTTCAAAGAGAGGAAAAATATTGAATATAAAACGATATCTTCAAACTGCTACAATTCTTAGTTCGAAGATATTAGTCTTTTTATCTGATATTTTTTCTCTCAATTCATGAAAATTATTCTTAAATAACATGAATATATTTTCAGTGTGGAACTATATAAAATTTCTTTATGTGTGAGCAAGCTTTATATTCATATAAGATTATATATTCTTGCTCATGTATGAAAACATAAGTTTTGAATTGACATTAATTTTTTTCTGTGTACACTCTGGTGACAATGACTAGATTGAGCGTATATATGCGCTAATGACGCAAATGGATTGAACGCTTGATATTGCGTTTAACACGATACTTTTTCAATATTTTATATTTCACACCGTAGATCCACCCGGGAACAAATAAGCAGAGGCAAAGTAGAATTGAACACACTTCGTGCCGCCGTTACTTCTACTTACTTGCTAAATCGTAAAAAAAGGACAAATCAAACGCGCAAGTTCCGATCATTACTACCTCATTGTATGCTACTTAATGTTTCAATGTAAATTGTGTATATATTTTTATACGTTGTATCGTTCTCTGGTTTTTATTTGCAATTACAATTGCAAATACGTCATGCCCAGCACAAGACATCCTGGGACCATCCACGATACGCTTCTGAGATCTTTCCCAGGACATCTTGGACAAGTTCGGGGTGATTTTGGCACGTTTCGCGCCGTTTTGATCACATTTTATGTAGAGTGTGACACGTACTATGTACAACGACGAATATATATTACGTATAACACGACGAATATGTAAGTGGAGAATACATCGATTGCGTACTATTTGAAATTTGCTTACATCAGCATTCAACGCTACGGTGGAACGCTTAAGAGGAAGTCGAAGGATACGAGACGAATGAAGAGAGGTACCCAAGAAGGAGCAAAATAAAGATGATTATGCGAAAATGGTATATTTACACAATTTATTTTATATCTCAACATCATTATCATATCATAATCATCATCGAGTCATTAGATAGCAAAAAGTAACGTCGGTTAACATTGATAATCAATTTCGAATTTGACAGAAACGGATAAGGTTAATGACGAAAACAGAGGGGGGGAAGAGGGAGAGGAGGCTCGTCCCGATAACTTTCACAAGACAACCTAAATCTGGGGGATTTTCACATCCGTCGATGCGAATGGGAAAAGCGGAAGATAGAAGTCGGAGGTGGGGGGAGGGGGGGGGGCAGGGAGAGAATGACGAATCGTGAACTTAGCGCGAACGGTCACTCCTATGAGATTTTCTATAGTCTACAATAATTGTACTCCAAATTTACAACATAGCAAATGTACACGGTACAACTATTCACATTCAGCCACCAAATGCCCGGCGAACGTATCATTGTAGGAACTGAACCCATCCATTTCAACGCGATTAACGCTGCCTTAAATACTGAGAATGTACGTTGATCGCTCTATTGCTCGACACTGCTGTCGGATGACTGCGAGAGAGAGAGAGAAAGAGGAAAAGAGAAAAGGAGGAAGGGGGGGAGAGAGAGAGAGAGTAATGGTAAAAACTTGTTTTGCGCTCGAATAGCCGACTCTTTTTTTCTTTTCTTTTAATCGCACCCTAAGGAGTCAGTGTTCGCAAACTATTCTTACGTCGCAAACTTCGCTTTTAATGCCGCTCTTGCACGTGAATGGTCCCATTGGATTATCAGAACTTGGCCCTGTTAAGATCGGTGTGGTAGCCATTTACTTTGATGCAAAGTCGACTTCCATGACACACTCGCGGCTGCTTCTCGCGTCGAACATTGGAAGCGCTCCCACGAACGGCGAGTTCTCTTTTGGTGGACCATTCTAACAAGTCGTAAGCGTTGCTACGTTAAGGCGGTTCTCACGTGTCATTCACAGAAACATCCGAAGCAAAATCGGTAGGGAACGATTGCGCTTACGATTTTTCACAACATTTCGCAGGACATGACTGACGTTCGAGATGCATGTGTGTGTGTGTGTGTCTGTGTGTGTGTGTATACGAGAGCCTAAATCGGCATTCGGTGTGCGGTAGGAGTTTACTCGTGCTAATTCGATACACAGTCCGAGCTGGAAACATGACGGAATGAACTCATAAACCGTATATGGGCGTAAGGATGTGTGATTAGTTTGGGGTGTGTGATTAGCTTGCAGAGGAAAACGCTAACGCAATTTCCGTAATTACAAAGAAACAGGAAAGTCAGGAATAATGAGTGGCGTGGGCTTGATTCGCGATATACGGACTGAGGAGGGGTCGTACGAGAAAAGAAAAATCAACCCTCGGGAAAGATCCCTCGAGTGCACCAAACGACAAAGTATTGGCCCGCTTGATCAAACGCGCGCAAGGAGAAAATAGTCTCTACGAACGAATTGATCTCACAAGAGAGTCCCTGACTCGACAATGTTTTTCTTTTTCCCGACTTCTTTCCTAAACCCTTTTTTTTTCGTTTTCCGAGCATTCTGGTTCTTCGGGAGGGAAAAGGAACTGTGCGCTCCGACTTTACAAAAATTTGCATCGCTTATATTACAATAACCTTCCCTCGATTAAAGACATTCAACCCTTAATATATTATTATCATAAATAAATTTGGTCTATCGGTAATATTGTGAATACGCCGGTACAAATACTGGCAGTATTTGGTTAAGTAAAAAATCATGATCACTAGAAGAGGTAACTTGTACAGGATTCGATTGCGGTATTACAAGAACAATTCCTTCCGTTTCTCCGTAGCAATTTCTTTACGTGGAAAGCGCTTAGAGCGCTGAGAAAACATCGCGACTCGCCGCTCGGCGAGGTTGACGAGAGAAAAAGAGAGAGAGAGAGAGAGAGAGAACCGATATCTAACATGTGACACGCACGTTACTACTTCCAGTAAACTTGATTCGACGTCCTCTGAATAATTTACCGGGGGGTTTTGCAAATCTATCCACGACAGAAGCGGAACTTTCCGATCGGGCACGATACTCCGGCCCGCATACTTTCTTTCCTCGTCGCTCAACTAACATTTACATAGCCTAGTGCGGGAGATAATTAATGCCCTGTGAGAGACTCGTTCCCTAATTGTCCCCTCAGTGATCGGATGTACAAACAATCGATTAAAGCGGCACGTGTGGACATCTATGTCAAAGGAATGCGAGACTTTCACACTTATATTTCGTAAAAGGCGAAGTTTGCCCGAACTTCGCCGTAACGGTTTTTCATGATAATCAACCACAACAAGGGTTTAAAAACGGTGAGGCAAAACTGCTGCTGCGTGAATAGATCTACCAATGGAACCGATAGAAGAGAGAGAGAGAGAGAGAGAGAATGTATGCTGTGAGTCCGGTAGATCGGCTTGAAAAAAAAGAAACGAGCGTTGTAACAGATGCCTTCAACGTTTCCAACTTGATCCACCAAAACTGCCCCGGTCAGCATGTATTGTAAACTATCGCGACCCACTTATTCGCGCTTCGTTTTAAAAAAATAATCAATGTTGTTATTGTTTACCGCCACAATGTGGCGTAATGGGTTCAAGACAAACATCAACATCTCATCTCTACTTCGTATGCATACACCGGTAAAACCGTTAACATTAACTGAGATTAAGAAAAAGGCATTATTTTACATTGTCATCGTGTGTTGATCCAAGTCATGAACCGGAGGACACTGAGTCGTGCATACGCGCAGTGTTTATCTTTCTCTTTACACATATCTATAATGTATATTGTGTACGTATGTGTGCGTGCGTGCGTGTATGTATGTGTGTGTGTGTTTATTTTTGCGCGCGTATATACCTGTGTGTGTGTGTGTGTGTGTGTGTGTCTCGTGTGGTATGTGTTTTTTACGCAATCACTTTACATTATTACACTGTTGTTTCAGTCCACACGCTTTTCAAAGACCTGCAAAGGAAAATTTGGATTTTTGCCCCGTGCACCTTCCTATACTACGCTCTCTAAATCCGACATGCAACACAAAGACGACGCTTCTATCGGAGAATAGTGCGGATCGCGAGGATTCGCCGGCTCCTATTTCGGACCGTACGGTGGTAAAACGAAGCGCAGAAAACAAGCGCGTATATTATATTAGCCGCGAATAAAAATAGACGCGTAATCAATATACCGAGCAATGAACCCCCGTGCAACATATAAACGCGTGCCGCTCTGAAATAATCAATACTGCTGTTAAGTCGACGACAACCACTGAAATAATCGTTACTACGCAGCACGTAATATGCACTCGCAACCGAACGATTCGAGTCTATACATCCAATATCCGCAACGTGAGGAAGAGAAGGAAATGAACGGACGGAGCGACTCGGAGATAGAGAAATTATACGATAAGAGGCTTCCTGTCGACCTCTCCGTCTAGAGTGAAAAAAGTAAAGTGTTCAAGGCATACCGTAATTACGTGCGAATGTTTAACCTTCTCTCTTAATGGCACCGGGAGCTTCGGCTAGCCCTTTAACTTTAAGCCGGTCTGCCGTTTTGAGAAACGCTGGAAGCTGATCTTGCGAAACGTTCACCTCACCCGCATACATGAATTCTAGAATGGCCTGCAGGTGACTATACGCAACATCCTTTAGTATAATAATTGGATGTTTGGACGGATTTTCCTGCAACACATGTCGAACAATGAGTGAATTCGCTCGTGAAGCTCGATCGATCGTGCTAGGCGATCACAACGGCTTACCTCTAACAAGGATTTGAAGTAAGGACTACAAGCGGACAGGACCATTTTATGCGCTTTGCAAGTTTGACCGTCGCAAGCCAATGTCACATCCGTGAAGCTTTTCTCGTCTCGCAGGTGTTTGAACGACGACACCATATTCGACTGGAAGTCGTTCCATTTGAGAAAAAACTGCTGCTGCTCTCCCGCCATTGTGAATGCTGGGGTTGCCCTATAACTCCTGCGTAACTGTGCAGTCTGCGAAACAAGGTTACATCAGTGACAGGAATAACCGGGGCGCTCTGTCTAGCTTACTCTCTAAACACGCATGTCTCGTGCACGTGTCGAGCGAAAGAGACGTGGGTGAGACTAAAGTGAGCGACGGTGAAGTGAACCCCGCGGAATGAACACTCGGGGACGTCCGGAGCTGCTACGGGAGAACGCGGAGGAACGAACTCGACGGCGACGTGACGAGCGCGAAACTCCGCGCGCCAGATGCCTTGTAGGTTAAGCCGAGAGTCGATGTCTCGGCGGACGGGAGACGCGGCGACGCGAATCGGCCGAGTCTCGGTGCGAGTAAACGGACCGTATCATCTCGGCTCGGCCGAGAGGAAGCCCGGCCGTGATGGACTTTCGCGTCGATCACTCCGTCACAACAATACGCGTGCGTCCGTGCACGAAGCCGCGCGACGAGCCCAACACACGGGCCACAACAGGCAGAATCGAAAGCTCGATGACGACGACGACGAGTTCGCACGGCGTGCACACACGCGTCCAGTTCCCTTACTTCGTGTCGTCGACGGACAGCCGAATCCTGAACGAGCCGACGACGTGGTGATGAGGACAGCTCGACGGTGAACAGGGAAACGCGAAAAACACGCAGCGTCGAAAACTTTTTACCCGTTCGCCAGGAATTTTTTGTTGTCGCTAATATCACGGCGAGGAAATTCGGCTGGGCTCGAGTCTTTCCGGCGACGGTCGGTCCGCGCACGTCGTACCGAAGTTACTCGCGAGCGCGCCGCCCGATGGCGCGACCGGCGCGATCACGGATCGGCGCGCGAGTGCGCCTCGAAGACGGTAAAGTCGCGCGGCGAATTCGTCAGCGGCGAACTCCGAGGATAATCCACGCTTCGTTCGGAGAGATTTCAGGAATGTCTTCAACGCCATTTCACGGTTGCGCGGTGGTGAGCACGGACAAGTCGACGACGAGCTCGATAATCGTCGATAACGTCGAGGTAATTATCCTCAAAATAATGCGTTACGTAAACACTGACGCGATCCCGTTACTCTGTTTGCATTTCTTACATACATATAGATCTTACGTAAATGTGAGTGCGATACTAATGCGATGAATGCGCGTTCCTCTGTTTTATTATGCCTAATGGAAAATCTAACCAAGGTATATACACACATGTTTTTGCGAACTTTTTGTACCTTCTTAAGTCTCGAAATTTAATTAAGAAGGTATAAAGATGTTCTCTGACATTTTTCTGATCAGAACGCTGACACATCCGGTACGTACAAACTGCAGGATTTCTGCGTCAAATAAATATTTACCGACAGCTGTGAGGAATATCCGAAATGTCAGTTTTGACGTTTTTCATCGTTTTTCGTCACATATTAAACAGTGCTCCAAATCGTTTTCGCGCGTATTTTCACCGCGTAACAGTATTTATTATTTTATGCAACCAGATGTAAACTTTGCAGAAAAAATTAGTGTTCCGTCGATAAAAGAAAAAAAAGAAGAAAAACAAGAGAGAGGGAGAGAGAGAGAGAGAGAGAGAGAGATAAGATTAGGAGAGACGTGTCAAACGCACGACAAAGTTGATTCCGATCTGATAGACAAACTGAACGCACGCGGAATGAAATTCGCAAGATCGAAGAAAGAGTGGACGAGAGACGGCGGATCCCTTATTCCCGTTTCGCAAGCCGCTATTATGTAACACGCATAGCGGCATGTGCGTAAGACACGAATTCGCGCGTAATCCAGCGCGAAGAGGATTTTAACGCGACCTCATCGCGCCGAAGTCGCATCTTCTTTTTCCTTCTCTCGCGTCTTAATAGTGACAAGACTATCGACGTAAGCGAGTCGCTGATACACAGGAACCTCGTCGTTCAGTGCGCACGATCAATGTGCGTCAGCGTACGTTGGCTCATAGATCAACGCACGCGAAACTACTGCGCGATGATATTGAGATAAAAATCCTCGTTGATAAACAATCAAAACATGACGCAACAATGATTCGCCTATTCGCGCGCAGACGACCGCCCGCTCTCCACCGCGATTGATCGCGATGTACCTCGCGCGGAAGTCGCTGGTTGTCGAGTTGATCCAGCAATAACGCCGGAAGAGCGACGACGGACGGACCCGGGAACCCCGGGGAATTCCCGGGGAGGAAGGGCTAAAGTCAGGATAAACATTTCCACGACGAGCGGAGAGATCGATGAATCGATCGATGCTGGGATGGCGGATAAAGAGGACGTAGAGCGCGTTTCAAAAGAGCATGGATCATCTCCGTCGTGAATTCTCTCAGACCGATGTACTCGTAGTCAGTCTTGCGTTGAAGATCTTCTCGAACTTATCCTCGGATAACTTCTTCTCTGTGGCCAATCAAACGAATCGTGCTGCGTCTGAGGATGAACCGACGCGATATCTTAAATATTTAAAATACATTGAAATATATATTAAATATATGATCTGATCTATGTAGCCGATATTCATAGGCTATGTTCCGACATGGTCACTGCCAGCATTGAAAATCTATGGTGTACGCGATATGAACTACAGATTTTCTGTCCTGCCAGTGAATATCGGAACTCAGTCATGGTCGGATCTTCTGTTTAAGATCATCCCACAGTGGTAAAATACCGTAGTAAAAATCACCATGAAATTTTATGACGCTGAATTATATCGGAACTATAACTGAGATTATGACGCATGTCGCAATCTTCAGTAATATATCGGGTAAAGATAACAGCACGCATAATAATCGTGGTAATTTTCACCACGATATTTTCTCTGTGCCGAAGAGAGAATGACGATAACGTTAAAATGACGTCAAAGTAACGAGAAAATGACCGAACGGTGACTCTTTACAGCCACTTTCCCCGTCATTTTGACGTTGTCGAGATGTCCCCTCCCGCCTGATAACATAAGTTTATCTTCGGATGCAGCGTAACCAATGGAACGCACCTGAGACTGAACTGAGAAGGCGATCTTAAGCATAAAAATCCAACCGTGAAACCGCTCTGTCAGTATTGGAGAAAGAATCGGGTGAAACGGTGCGGGAGATCCCGCTCGATCGGTAACCGCCAATATTGCGCAATATCGCGCAAACGACGACACGCGCTGGTCAATCGCGGCGAAATTAATCGCATCGAAAAATCAGCCCGGCGCATCGTCGAGCGACGTTGCACGCGAATAATGCCGCCGCGTCGCGGCGTGTAGGTACGCGCCGAGTGTAAAATTTACATCGCGACGCGTCCGATGGAAAAATAACGGAGCCGAGTGGCGAGTAGCGCGATTGAAAATAATTAATGTGTGTCCCGAGATTCAGATTCGAGGTAAGGCGCGAGTCGCTGCTGAATCGCTCGCTCTCTACGTGACAGTCGCTCGCGGTGCGCGCGGCGAACGGTTGCGCGGCCTGGCAAACCGCAGAAGCTAATTGTGCGAGCGGGAAATCCGTACAGGCCGTACAACATCGAATGGAAGGAAGGCCACTTTTCGTGCACGCACGGTGTATGCGTCGCGAGTGCCACCGGGAGAATCAACCGCCGGAAAACTTTTTCCGCCGCCGCGACGGGGAACGCGTGCCGAAGCGTGAGGACTGGCGAACGAGAGTGATGGAGATATTGAGAGAGGGGGGTGGAGGGGAGAGACGGAGAAAAAGAAAGAGAAAAGAAGCACGACGCGAGAGATCGAGGGGCGAAGGGGTCGGTGGAAAAGACGGCCGAAATGCGTCTTCGGGGACGGGGAGGGAAATATGGAAAAAGAATGGAAATCGGTGGGGAATGAAAGAGAGAGAGAGAGAGAGAGAGGCTTGCGCAGCAGCGAGCGGAAAAAGTGACGCGTGCAAGAGCGAGAGAGAGTGCGAGCGAGCGAGCGAGTGATAAAGGGGTCCCGGGTGGCGCGAGGGGGAGGGGGTAACTAGCGAGCGAGCGCCGCGCGAGACGGGGAGAGAGTGCGGCGGACGCGCCGCGGTCGGTCCCTCCGAGAGAGGACCGCTCGCGAGCGGACGGAGGGAAGCGCGCGCGGCGTCGCGTGCGCAAGCGCAGTGGGACGCGCAGTGCCGTCGGCGCGCGCGCCACATTGAAAGCTTGCGACATGCTGCGGAGGTGCTCAGTCGCGCGCCAACTCTCACGGGGGTGATATCGTCGGGTGTTTTCGCTCAGCTCGTATTCGTTCTCTCTCTCTCTCTCTCTCTCCGTGTGTCGTATCCCGAGAGAGGCGAGGCATATAGAACTCGGCTGTGCACGTAGGCGTCAGTAAACCGCGTTGGCTCGCGCGAGTACGGACACGCGAGAGAGAGAGCAGACGTGCGTCGCTTCTCGGGCGCGGGTTCTTAAACGAGACACGGCGGCGAACGGAACGCGTGCCCGTCGTCCTCGAGGTGTCGGAAATACAGTCCGAGGGCCGTCGAGTAAGTACTTGGAACAGTGTCAGAAAGCACGACGCGTGCTTTCGGGGAAAAACGTCCGTTTGTTGCCGCCGGGCGATAGTGGCGAACGGTGACGGTGTGATCCTCAGCGTGAAGCATCGTCCTCTCTTTCCCGGAGAGACGCAGTTACCGCGCTGTCGCGGGAGAGGGAGGCAACGTGCGGGCGGATAAATAGACGCTGCTCTCAGGCGGACGTTTACGCGCGCGTAGAGAGATAGAGAGTGTGCGCGCGCGCGCGCGCACAGGTGGTCTCCGCGGTGAGGAGGAAGAAATCGCGGCAGGACTCGCGCGCGCGACTCTCCATTTCTGTGATGTGCGAGTGAAATGATGGACTCACCAGTCATGTACGACTCGTCGGCTCACCAGGCCCAGGCCCCGGGCGCGGGCGATCTGAAGAAGGCGCAGGTGCTGAACAACAACACCAGCAGCCAGAACAACAACGCGACGAACAACAACAACTCGGCGCTGCAGGTGAACCACAACCACAGCCAGCAGCAGAACAGCGCGGTGGTGAGCAAGGTGTCCGCCAGCAAGGCGAGCCTGCACCAGCAGTACGCCGAGCACTGCGCCGCGTCCGGCGAGCTGACCGACCTGAACACCCCGGAGATCTCGCTGGACCTGCAGCACCTGATCGACGACAACCACTTCAACGACGGGTTGTTGGACATGCTGGGCGCCAACAACAGCGCCGTCAAGCACGTGAGGACCTACCCTCGCACGACCACCCTCGCCTACATGCCGCAGCCGGTGCACAGTGGCGCGAGCTACCACCAGAGCAACAACAGCTGCAGCGACAGCAACAGCTCGAGCTCGGAGTCGCCCAGCATCAAGGAGGAGCCGTTGGACCCGGCGGATTACCGCCGCCACTGTCCTCAGTATCCCCCGGCCGGCTACAGTCCGGTGACGAACAGCCCCTTCGTCAACGGCGCCCCGACCTTCACCACCTTGACGCCGTCCACGGTGCCCGGCGGCCACCCGGGCGCGCCGAACGTCCACCAGCCGCCGCCGAGGGGCGGCCCGATGAAGCCGGTGATGGCCCACCAGCATCACGCGGCCGCCAACGTCGCCCGGAAGCAGACCAAGGCCATCGACAAGGCGAGCGACGAGTACAGAAGACGACGGGAGAGGAACAACATCGCCGTGAGGAAGAGCCGCGAGAAGGCGAAGGTTCGGTCGCGCGAGACCGAGGAGAAGGTGAAGATGTTGGTTAAGGACAACGAGATGCTGAAGAAGAGGATCGAGCTGCTCACCGAGGAGCTCAATGTGCTCAGGTCACTCTTCAGCAGTGTCGGCGTCGTGCCCGAGCAGCTGCACCGCGAGATCTCCAGGCACCTCGACCAGTTCCAGCAACACGCGGTCGGACCCATGTAGCGCACGACCGTCAATCTCGTCGTCGCGCAGTCGTCGTGAGATCTTCGCGCATCGTCGTTCGACGTCGTCGCCGACGACGACTCGCGTCCCTGGGCGCTATCAAGCCGATCCGATTGCGAGGCGAAGTCGCTTCTTCCGCTCCCTCCCCTCGACAACCGTCTCCGGCCGTGTGTTGTCTGTCTCATGGTTCTCTGACTTCCTCTCTCTCTCTCTCTCTCTCTTCTTCTTCCTCCTTCGTCTTTCGCGTCGTTCTTTATCTCTCATTCGTGCGATGTAAGCGCACGTGCGTGCCTACCGTCGTCGTTAACACTTAGAGTCGCGAAGGCGCGAGCATCGGAGAGAGAGAGAGAGTGTGTGTGTATGTATGTGTGTGTGTATGTGAAGGGGGGAGTCGACGTAGGAAGGGTGATCGAGAAGCGACCTACTCGAGGCAAGCTTGGCGACGACGGCTGAGGAACGCGGTCGACGCGATGCGCGTGTTGGTAAAGTAAAAGTACCTCTATCCGCGGGATACGAGCCCTTCGCTCGAAGAAAGGGAGAAAGTGCCGTCCGGACATCGAAAAGGGAGAGAGAAAGAGAGACGAGAGGAGGCAAAAAGCGGAGAGCGATAAATCGTGGAGAATCACTCTCGTGGCTCGCGTTGGGTCATCACGTCGCGATCTTACGGAGTAATGTCATCGTTGTCGAGGAATCGACTTGAGAATCGGAGAGAGAGGGAGAGAGTAAAGACAGTCGAATCTTTATCTCCTCCCTCCCCTCCGTCATCCATTTTTCGTTGTTCGGAGCAGAACGCGTCTTACTTCTCCTCGTCTCAGTCTCACCACCGTTCGTCCCTCCTCTCAGCATCTTTCGACCGCGGTGGCTGGTCCAACCGCCCTCTCGGGCAACGAGAGCGGACATTTTTCTACGGTGGGCAATCGCAACACGTGGGCGAGGAGGGGAAAACGAGCCGAAAAATCTCCTCGAACGGGGACCTCACGATGATTCACGCGAGTATTCTCACCTTTAAACTGTACACCACGTATTTCGCATGTACACGGACGCATCCAACATCTCCAACGCGAAAGACACGTACATACGGCGTTGTACCTAGATTCGGTTCTTAGTTAACGATAAATTAATGAACTTAGGTTATCGCCCCCCCTCCCCCCCCCAATTACAAGTACCTAAAACAGAGGAAAAAGAAGAAAGAGCGAGACCACCGGCGACAGCGACCTGTTAGCCGTCGACGGTGCCTCGAACAGTCGATATCAATCCCCCTTCCCTCCTCCCCCCCAACCTCTCAATACGTACTCGCTTCCGTGCTCGCTCGCTCGCCACTTTCGGCGGGACGCGGCCGAACAACGACCGAGCATCCAACCATGCCCTTGTATTATATACTTTTAGCTCTTATTAATTTTATTATTATCGTATTCGAGATTTATGTACATAAAGAGCTAATATATTTTGTTAGAAAAGTGGAGCGCGCGCATGCGTGCGCTTGTATGTGAGTGTACGTACGTATGTAACAGTATATGTGTGTGTGTGTGTGTGTGTGTGTGTGTGTATGAAATATGTGTATACGAAGTATGTATGCGTGTACATGATACGAATGTGCGTCGTGAGACGAATTGTTGTAATTGCATATTTTATCAGCGGCGAAAAGTCCACTCGGCTTCTCGAGAAGCGAGGAAAGATCGATTCATATCTGCGAGCGTTCTCGAGACTTAGCATGGAGCGTGCGGTCGGGGCGGAACCTTCAGCTTCGCGATTACCCGGCAGAACCGGCGGAGCCAACGACAGAGGCAGTGGCCGGCAACCGGTATGTGTGTGTGCACCGTGTTCGTCACGGTATAATCGCACATCATACGTGCGCGCGCGCGCTCGCGCGCGATTCAATTCGCGCGGAGGCGCGCGCGACCGCGTGCGCCCCGGTTTACGTTACGCGACGTGTATGAATGCGATGACGATGTTACGCACGCGTGCCTTGGTGTATGACTGACGTATGTTAGGTACGAGATTACCTGTCACGGTTGTCTTATTGTCTATGCACAAATATATTTTGATATGAAACGTGCGCCACGTCTTTCTGCCCTGTGTGTCTCTCTCTCTCTCTCTCTCTCTGCATCTCCGTCCAGTTCATCCTCCGCCATTCTCCCGTCCGTAGATCCGAGTTCAACGATATTTGATTCTCCGATGGCATGAAGCCACTTTTCGAAGAAGATAGAGTTCTCTTGCAAGTCCATTGAGGATTACGGAAGTCGAAAGGATTGTGTTCGAAATATCTCTTTATGGCCGAGAGAGATGTGATCTGAAGTCGGTTTGAGTGTTATCATACGTTTGCATTCACCATACGAATCGAAATTTTTGCCCTGCACGGAGGAAAAGATTGGTTGAATCGATGTGACAAAAGAACGAACCAAGCGCGTTTCAGTTGAAGGAAACGGAGTTTCGGGTTTTTACAATCCGAGTTGCTTCGTAAGAAATTCTGTCTCCATCAATCGAGACGCGTTCGTTCATTATCACGTTAATTAAGCCAATTTTTTTCCTCCGTATGTGTTAAACTTTCAATTCTACAGCGCAGTAAGAACTGAGATAGCAAAATAGGTTAAATTCTAACGTCCTGCTTTGAGTATGATGATGTCTTGAATTTCCGTTTACGTTGTTCCCGGCGTTGAAATAAATTGTTCTTAGGTAGCATCAAACTCAAATCTGCAGAATTAAATGTTCAAGGGGGAAATTAAAATAAGTATATTACCATCAAAATAGGTTTATATTAATTTATGAGCGTCTATCCCTAAGAGCATCAAAGTAGCATCAACATTTTGACTCGGAATGAGTATAATAAACAAACGTAAACATCGGTATTTGGTTTCCACGTTTGCTATGCAATTACTTACGTAACATCATGTTCTAGCGTGGAAAATTCTTTGCGAGACAAACCGAAGCAATTTATTCTTCAGTGACGTAAAATGAAAGGCATTTCATGTGATCATTATTTTAATATATAACAATTCTCTAGACATGCTTTTATACTTTTATTTTCTAAATTAGTGCATTAACGTATCAATGTGCATTTTTTCAAAGTTTAATTCCATTTCGCTGCGTACGACGTATACGTTGCCGAAAAATAGGTTCTCAATTACCTACACCATGTGTATACACGTCGAAGAAAACCGCTTGTCATTTGTGGACGCTGAATATGTGTGACTCGTTTGAATCTTTCGGTAAACATTTTTTTATTATGTTATTTCTCTTCAGTGTCACAAATCGAATATCGTGCCGTATACAGCAAACACTTTTGCTTGAAGCGCACTGCAGCGGAAGGGTTAATAACGACAAAAACGTCGTTGTCGTTCCAAACTTACGTGAGATAAAAAGCTCCAATCAAAAAATAAATCTAAAACATATATAGAGGAAAGGAAGTAAAGACGATGATGACTTTAAGGTTTGTCGATTTTTTCTCATTTTCACTCATATTAATAACGTAAAACTAATGATCATTTTTTTCTGAGTAGCTAAAGCCTTGCCTATCATCTGCATAAACTGAAAAATTTATAAATAAATCGGAATTATGTTTAATTTAAATTTTTGGGAATGTATCAATCTCGTCATCTTGCTCCCATATGTGAATAATATGGCTAAGGTTAAAAATAAATTTTTTCTACGTACAAGAAATAATTTTCACAAACGTTTTATTATTTTGTTACTATAATGTCTGTACAGCACGATAAAATATAAACGAAATAAAATATACTCAAAAATATTACTTATGAACAAAAATTATGATTTGTGACAATGTAACTTAAAAGAAATGAAATTTAGGCAGAAACAAAAAATAAAAGCAATTATTTATAATTATATAATTCTTCAAATAAATTGTACGAATGCATCATCTCGCCCGCGCATGATATTCACATACATCGTCTTACCCCATAGTCGTTTCATCTATTAATTATTCAATTAAAAGAAATATTGCTACATAAGAAATGAACAATAATATATTATTATATGCGATTTTAGGTACACTGCACAGTAGTTTTACAGAGAAAGTGAAAAAACTTACTATAATTGTATTTTAACTAAATAATTCCTTATGAAGAAATACCACAACATTACATACGTCGTTCACAGATTGAAGTTAAACTTCAACAGATTACTTATCACCAAAAGCCTCTGATGAGTTGGGCATCGGTTCGTATTTTGTCATATTGGTTTAGAAAAATTACCAAATTGTCATCTCATCCACTTCACTCCACGTCATTTAACACCTTTTACCCAGCGTGGAATGTTCTCTATGATAAAGCATCCAGGTGCTCGAGAGAGTGACGTTTACGAGCGAAAGTGTCACGAGATAAAGAATCGAAGTACGGTGTGATCGCCTGTTATCACTCTCGAGTCTATGTTTAACGACATCACGTGTGCGGTTAAGGCGGGAACGGGCCGAAAGGAGAATTCTACGGGTCCGCAAAGGGAGCGACGGTAAAGTAGCCGGGCGTTAATCGGAAAAATGCGCGCGCGCGCGCGCGTGCAGAGAGTATGGAAAGCGATCGCACAACGGCGCGCGCGCGCGAATCCATCGAGTGGCGGCGAGTGAGTCACGAGATAAGTTTGTTGTTAGTCAGATTAAATGGATTAGCAGCATTGTGACGAGCGTGACGTTCGCCCGGGCCTCGCGGAACAGGATACGTTCCACGTGTACGCGCGTCGCGCACCCGACGTACACGTGCCCGGCGTACTTTACGCGAGCGGGAGGAAGCGCGCGTCGGCCGGCATAATTGGTGAAACGAGTTTTTCGAGCCGCGATGCAAAACCGTCGCGACGGAGGATCTCGGCCGCGTCGTTTGATTGGGAAGCCGACGATAAGATTGCGGAGCGGAGTGGCGCGCGCGCAGATATAGACGTGCTCGGATAACAATCGGGGGAAACCGCGTTGAATGAACGGTGTCGGATCGAATTGAGTCGAATTGCGTTTCCGCCGATTCTTTGTGAACACGGTATCGCGTTTCCAGTCAGAGGGTTAAACGTCTCCTAGTGGAATTAACTTGAAATTATTAAACAATTATTTATATTTAATGATCATATAATTAGCGTAGAATAAAAATCCTGTATTGATTTGAATATTTTCCTTTCCTTCCTTTTTTTTTCCTTTTTTTTTCTTTTAATAAAAGAAGTTGAGATGTACACATGTAGAATAAACGACGGCAAGATATATCCAGGCACTCGCATCACCTTTCTCTGAGGTCAATTGACACGCATCGCACACGGCCTGCTATTAATTTTCGAAAGCCGAATGGTTCTTATAAAAAAAGAACTCGTCACGAGGCCTACCGGGACGATCTTATCGATCAGGTGAAAGTAATACCTTGAGATCTAAATTTGGCTTCGGTAAATCGCCGGTAGACAAATGTAGAATAATGGCGCCTCTCTTTCTGAAAATGTTCACTCGAGACAACAAGAGATGTATCAATTTACATAAGAGAATTTCGATGTCGATATTTCATAATTTTGCGAACGTTTTGCTTGACATTCGACGAAAATCCTTGGGACGATCTTCGAATTTCCGACGATGCCGACGATGCCGACAAACGGACAATCGAATAATTGTATAACACTGTTATAAGATGTGAGCAATACTGCTCCGTAATAGCATTCTTTACGAATTGCTTCGAATACATACGCACTAAATCGATTTTCTTTCGTCCGGTAAGAATGCTAATATATATCTATATCTAGTAAATTCCGAGCAATCTAATTTCCGCTAGCCTGTACCAAACCAGTCATCAGAAATTTTTCCGTTTCAATACTACACGCGTGTTTCAGTTCGAGATACATACTTAATCAATACGACAAGTTTTCTCATATTTCTAAATGTTTTATCTAAAATATATACTCCACCTGACAAATAAATTCAGCATTTTTGCATTCCTTTTTTTTTTAAGAAAAACACTCCAGCTAATAAAAGTGTGAAATGTAGCATTTCCTCAGCTTGTCTCGACTCACTGCAGACGTTGTTTTATGTTAATCGCGCACTTGCCAGCATAGATTTCTTCGTCGCCTGAAAACGACGATACCAAATGGGTCAAATAAGCCTTATCTTTCGCATTTTTCCCAATGTTCGGCGCGACATTCCAGCGCGGCAGCGGCCGCTTTGTTGCCGCATTAAGTCCCTGACATAATGCGCCAAGTTTTGACGCCGGGATGTCTGCGTGCACGTGTCGTCGACGATTCTAGTTTTAGATGCAAGCTGTGCCAACGTACGTACTCGGGCAGGTCCATTTTTCGAACGTTTCTCTGCATCGAGGCAGCAACTCCCGCGGAGACGGTCGGTCGATCGCACGAGTATCTCTCGACCTTGCTAACCAACGAATCACGCCGTTGTTTCCAACAGAATTTATTAAACAAGAAATGTTGAAATTTCCAAAAGCGCTGCCAAAAACGATTAGCCTTGCGCGTTTTCTCTCGGACGTACGAAAAGTCGATTCAGACGATCTTATTGCCTCTCAAACGGTAATTACACGCGATTAATTTCACGTATATTAAATTGCATTTAGAAACTCGTTATTTAAAATTGACCAGTTTTGACACTTCGGACGATCCAACTTTTCAACTTTTTATTTTAACCATTCTTGTTTTCATCCATCATACCGAACGATTTATAATCCAATTATATGAATTTTTGATTTCTCGATTTTAAACAGTCGATTAATTTAATCGGTAAGGAAATTAATTTAATCTATGAAGAGTACATTGTTCTCTTGCGTTTGTGCGAATATATCATACATACTCCGTTTGTGTGCTGATCTCACATCTACCTGACACTGATGTGCCAGATTAAAATTAATTGTACAGGTTATACAACATCTGGCACTAACATTTATCATCAGCGCTTTATCAGTAACTACGTTTAATTCCTCCCACTAATGTAGTGTTCTTCTTGCTCGTATAAATTCCCCAAAATTATAGCGCCGTTATATAATACTACCGTGGTACCATTAAAATTAGTGTGCTTCTGCGTTCGTTGTCTCATCCGATTCCCAGCGCGGGATCTATTTTATCTCTCACCTCTTGTCTTTT